GGGTATTGTTTGGATGGTTTTTTTAAGCAAAAAAACAATATAATTCGAGCTTCTACTCAGAATTTAGGTCATCTATATAAAATCACGTCATTTTTTTCCGGGTGAAGTGCGTTTCTTTCATCTCGCTTTGCCGCCATTGTCGTGCTATCTAGTGTGCGCCTTGGCGTGCTATCTAGTGGGCGCCGCCCGCCCCAAGATGGCCCCGGAGGGCCCCGAAGCGGCCCAAGAAAGCCCCGAGACGGCCCAAGACGGCCCAAGACGCGTCCAAGACGTCCCAGGAGAGGTCCACGCGGTCATCGTCATCGGTCATCGTCATCGGTCATCGTCATCTGTCATCGGGCCCACACACCTGGCCATGTGATTTTTGTTCAATCCCAGCGGTCTCTCCTCGGTTTCGGCCCCTGGGGGCCCTTTTCGGGCCCCAGGACCGTCAAGACGGCCTACGTACAGGCGGCCCAAAACGCCCCAAGATGGCCCCAAGACGTCTCGAAGACGGCCCACGAAGGTTCCAAAACGCTCCAAGATAGCCCCGGGACGGCTCCAAAATAGCCCAAGACCGTCCCCAGGCGGCCCAAGACCGCCCCAAGACGGCGACCCATAGTTAGCACTCAATAGCGGGGCTCTCAGGGCCCAAGATCTGTACACTTAAAAGGGCCCGAGGTGTTTCAGCGGGGCCCTGAGTGGGGCTCGAGACATCCTCACGACTCGGGGGCCGCCGCTCGAGACATCCTCAGAACTGGGGCGGCTGACTGACTGACTGACTGACTGACTGTCTGATTGACTTTCTGACTGACTGGCTGACTAACTGATTGACTTACTGACTGACCGACTGACTAACTGACTGGCCGGGAGGGGGCCGCCGCTCGAGACATCCTCACAACTCGGGAGCCGCCGCTCGAGACATCCTCACAACTCGGGCAGCTGACTGCCTGACTGATTGACTGACTGGCGGGGCGGCTGACTGCCCCCGCACGTGTCGTATTCGGTATTTTTTCACGCGCTTTTGTATTTTCCCGTAGCCATCGGATTCAAAGTTGTCGCCATTTCCCGATTATGTAGCGAATCGCCCGGGTTCCAGAACGCCCCATAGTTAACAGGCTCTTCGAGTATCTAAACATACTATAGCAAAAGGGGACAACTGCACACGTTGCTATCTATTGTTGGACATTTCGCTTGCTAACTATTCGTTGCGGACTATATGCACGAGTTTTTCCCTACCTAGGCTCTGCCTAGAAGGTTTCTTATTCGGTTGGCTTAGAGGGCCGGGCAGTGGAAACCGCCCCCGGCGGTTCCCCCAGTTGCGCCCCCCGGGCGGTTCCCCCAGTCGCGCTCCCTGGATGCCAAGCAAAAGCAACAGCAAAGGCAAAAGTGAAAGCAAAAGCGAAGGCAAAGCAAAAGCATAGCATAGCATAGCGTAGCATCGCATAGCATAGCATAGCGCAGCATAGCAAAGCGCAGCATAGCATAGCATAGCCTAGCCTAGCCCAGCCTAGCCTAGCCCATCAGGTGTACATGTAGATGCAGGTGTAGATGTACATGTAGCTGTCGGTGTAGATGTAGATGTTGCTTTCCTAGATGCTCCAACTCGTAGGTAGGGTCGCACTGGGGTAATGTTTCTTTTTCAGGGGGCAGGCAGCGCGATTAATTAGACAACTTCTCAAGGCCCCGATTTTCACGGTTTGAAATGTGGAGTGCTCGATTTCGTTCGCCATTTGGGCCCGCGCTTGGTCCGGCGGAGCACGCCGGCGCACGCGGTTGAACGGAGGGCCCAGGCGGCCCGCGCCTTTGTCCATCCCCTCGGCGCCATTTGGACAGCGTCTCTGCCGCATCTGTTTAATAGAAGCTTGCTCCTCTGCGTTGTGGTCAACGCGCTCCTAAGCGGGCTCGAGAGTTCCGGCATTGCGGCAGAAGACTCCGAGAGGCTCGACTGGCAGTTGGCATGGCGCCGCAGAGCTGCCGTGCGAGAAAAAGTTGTGACATTGGGTGGAGAGACTCCCATCGACGCGACTGACCGCCGAGCCGAGTCTTTCGGCGGTAGCGGCATGCGACCTGCTGGCTAGAGATAGTCATCAGGCGTCTAAAGCTCTACCAGAGTTGGGCCCGAGAACCCGGTGCCAATTCCCAGGTATTGGCCTCGCTTTTTGGGGGTTGATAGCGCGTGCCCCCCCCATCATTAATGGGCAACCTACAGAATGCGCATCCCCCTGGGTCCATCGCGCCGATTTCAGATGCGCTACTGAGCGCTCTGAAGACGGGGTCTTTGAGGCGCTCGCAAATAAGGTGGACTTGCTCAGAGATGAGGAATTCGCCGACGAGTTCAGCCGAATGGGCGTCACAGCTGTGCGTGTCGAGGTCTTCTCGGTCCGAATCCCCCCTCATGTTTTTTTGTGGCTGGGGTTTCGAGGGGGAGTCTCGAGCGATGCGCGTGTTGGATCGTGGCGGATGGAGTCACATGTGCTGCGTGTTTGCGATCCGTGGGTCTCTGTTATGTGCCATCTCAGGGGGCACCATCGCGCGCGCGGTCTCATCCGCGTGCTCTCGCCAGAGGACTTTTGCACGCACTGTCGAGAGTTTTCTTCGGATCAAAACGGTGCAGCTTGTCGTTTGCATCGGTTGCTGAGAGGAGGTCGCTGCGAAGCAGGGGGGCCCGCGGCCCTCGGGCCCAGGGCGGATGTCAATAGTCTCGCGTGCCCCTGCTGCTCTCGCTCCACCTCGGCAATAATAGACGCTCTCTGCAGCCGTTTGGCTGGCCACCTTCCGTGGAAACTCGCGCCTTGCTGCCGGTGCCGGCGTCTGCGCGTCAGCCGACGCCGCGCTCTCGCCGACGTGGCTCAGCATGGAGAGGCGCGCCGTGGAGAGCCAGGCCGTCAGCTCCGCCACCCCGGGTGCACCGGCATCGGGCCTCCTCCCGACAGGGCCAGGGGGAGGCGCCCAGATCGTGCCGCCGCCCTGGCCACGTCGTTTCAGCATTCGTGGCCCCTCATCCCTCCACCCTGCGCTTCATAATCCACCCAGTGCAGCGTTTCGTGGCCCCATAGGGAGCTCCACCGAAGGCCCCAGTGCCACCGCCCGCATGCGTCACGCACCACCCAGTACAGCGTTTCGTGGCTCCATAGGAAAGCCCCAGTGGCACCGCCCGCATGCGTCACCATCGAGTACAGCGTTTCGTGGTCCCATATCGAGCTCCACCGAAGGTCCCAGTGGGACCGCTCGCATGCGTCACGCACCACCAAGTACAGCGTTTCGTGGCCCCAGGAAGAGCTCCCGACGGCCCCACTACCACCGCCCGCATGCGTCCCGCACCACCGAGTACAGCGTTTCGTGTGCCCATAGGGGGCCCCACCTACGGCCCCAGTGGGACCGCCCGCATGCGTCCCGCACACCCAGTGCAGCGTTTCGTGGCCCAATAATGAGCTCCACCGAAGGTCCCAGTGGGACCGCCCGCATGCGTCACGCACCACCCAGTACAGCGTTCGTTTCGTGGCCCCTAGGGAGCTCCAGAGACGGCCCCAGTGGCACCGCCCGCATGCGCCACGCACCACCCAGTACAGCGTTTCGTGGCCCCATAGGGAGCCCCATCGACGGCCCCAGTGGGACCGCCCGCATGCGTCACGCACCACACAGTACAGCTTTTCGTGGCCCCATAGGGAGCTCCACCGACGGCCCCAGTGCCACCGCCCGCATGCGTCACACACACAGTACAGCGTTTCGTGGCCCCATAGGGAGCTCCACAGACGGCCCCAGTGGGACCGCCCGCATGCGTCCCGCACGCCCAGTACAGCGTTTCGTGGCCCCACAGGGAGCCCCACCGATTCGTGCCCCACAGGGAGCCCCTTCGAGAGCTCCACCGAAGGCCCCAGTGGCAAAGCCCACATGCGTTTCCCCCACCCAGCACAACGTTTCGATGCCCATAGGGAGCTCCACCGAAGGCCCCAGTGGCAAAGTCCGCATGCGTCTCCCCCACCCAGCATAAAGTTTCGCGGCCCATAGGGAGCTCCACCGAAGGCCCTAGTGGCAAAGCCCGCATGCGTCTCCCCCACCCAGCACAACGTTTCGCGGCCCATGGGGAGCTCCACCGAAGGCCCCAGTGGCAACGTCCGCATGCGTCTTCCCCACCCAGCATAACGTTTCGTGGCCCATAGGGAGCTCCACCGAAGGCCACAGTGGCAAACTCCGCATTCGTCTCCCCCACCCAGTGCAGCGTTTCGTGGCCCATAGGGAGCTCCACCGAAGGCCCCAGTGGCAAACTTCGCATTCGTCTCCCCCACCCAGTGCAGCGTTTCGTGGCCCCATAGGGAGCTCCACCGAATACGATACCCATAATTGCTGCACACACAACTACATATGGTTGGGTCTTTCGCCAGGCTCTTTAGATGTATTTGTTTTAAAAACGGTTGGAGTATTTTTTGTGTTTCGCCCGAGACCCGCCTGTAGGGGAACACGCTCGACCTAAGTTCAACCCAGCGGTCATGATCTGCATGTTCCCGGCAGGCTGGATGACGACAGTTCCATCCTGGCTTGCACTCTGTGCGGCAGGTACTCGGGGTGCACCCTCGAAGGGCTCCATGGGAGCTGCCCCCAGGGAAGTCCGCTGTCGCTTCGCACGTGGAACCTGGTCTCTGCTGGTCTCGGGAGGCGCCCCAAGCCCCCCCCCCAACAAAACACGTCGTTTCTGGTGCCGCAGTCCCAGTGGAGAGGAGAATGCCCCAATATGCTAACTCTGTCAATGGTCCTAGCCGCCGCGAGTGAACCATGACCATTCAGACGCCGTGCGATGGTCCTCCTCCCCCCCCCCATTTTTCGCTGCTGGGTATTGTTCCTTTGTCTCCTTCTCACCCTCCCCGCCCGCTCGCTTTCCCTCTTGTCGTTCTCATCCTCATTCTCTGGCCCTCTCCTCCTCCCGTTCTCATTATCGTCCTCATTCTCTGCCCCTCTCCCTCCCCCGACCTCTGCTCCACCCTGGCCCTCGCCCCCCCCCCCCCCCCGGGCCCGCAAGCCAGGAGGCCCCAACAGCCACGTACGAGGAGCAGGTGCGGGACGGCTTCAGGCCTGTGTACCAAGGCGTCGCGTCCTCTTCTCCCTCCCCCTCCTCCTTCCTCCTCTTTCATCCTTCCTCCTCCTCGTCCTCTTCTATCCTCCTCTTTCATCATCCCTCCTCCTCCTCCTCCTTCCTTCTCTTTCATCCTTTATCTTCCTCTTCCTCCTCGTCCTCCTCCTTCCTCCTCTTTCATCCTTCATCCTCATCCTCCGTCCTCCTCCTTCTCCTCCTTCCTTCTCTGCCTCCTCCTCCTCCTCCTCCTCCTCTGTCCTCCTCCTTGCGTTCGGCCTGACGCTGCCGCTGGCGGGCGGCGGCCCCTCCTCAGCCCTCCAGTCCGTCTCCAGGCTTCTCTCCTTCTCCCTCTTCTTCCTTCCTCTCCCCCCTGCTTCCACATCGTTGTCCTTCCTTTTTATCGTAGTGATGTTCAACATCTTCCCCCCACGCAGACTTGATGATCCTTGCCGCGCATCGGAAGTCCCCCTCCCTTCGTCTTTTTGCCATCCCTCATCATGTTTCCCCATCCTGCCCTCCCTCTGCTCCTGCTGCTCATCTTCCCGCTGCTATTCCGCAGGTCTTCAAATCCTCCTCATCGTTTTCGTCGTCATCCTGCGTTTTTTTTTTTTTTTTTTTTTCCTTTTCTGTTGCATCCTTTCCCTCCTCTCCCTGGTATTCCTTCTGCTGGACCTCCTCCTTCCCTGGCTTCCTCCTCCTCCTCCTCCTCCTCCACCCACCTGATCATCGTTCTCCTCATCCTCGTCCTGCTGCCCCTGCTCCTGATATTCTCGCTGTTGCCAATCCTCATCGCCCCATCTCTTCTGTGTCGTCGTCGTCGTCGTCGTCCTCCTCCTCCTCCTCCTCCTCCTCCTCCTCCTCCTCCTCCTCTCTTCCTCATCTTCCCCCTCTCCTGCCTCCCCCTCTGCCTTCAAGTTCTCCTCCACCCTCCTCCGCCCTCCTCCCCACCTCTCCTTTCCCGACCTCTCGCCCCTGCTTCGCCGTTCCCTGTTCCCTGCTCGCCCCTCCCGACTCGGCCCAGGGCCACCCGCGTGGATCCACGCCCCCGTCACGCAGTGGGACCCCTGGGCAGTGGGGTTGTGGTCCCGGGCCCCGCCTCAGGCACAGCAGCGGCGAGCGACATCCAGCCTCCCTCCCTCCCTCTCTCCCTCCCTCTCCCTCTGTCCTTCCCCCCCCGCGTCACCGATGCATCGGCGGTCCCGCTCGCCGTGGGTCCCGACTTTCTTTCGTGCCGACGTCGACGACGCATCCACTCGGGCGTCGTTTCGGAGGACCGTATCTGGTCTCCCTCCCTCTCCCCCCTCCTTCCTCTCCCCCTCTCCCTCTCCCCTTCCTCTCTGGTCTCCCTCCCTCTCCCTCTCTGGTCTCCCTCCCTCTCCCCCCCTCTCTCTCTCTCTGGTCTCCCTCCCTCTCTGGTCTCCCTCGCCTTCCTCTCCCCCTCTCCCTCTCCCCTCTCCCTCTCTGGTCTCCCTCCCTCTCGCCCTCCTCGCCTCGCCCTCCCCCCTGCCCCCTCTCCTCCCGCCCTTGGTCGGGCCCGGCCGTGGCCGGAGGATCCTGGTCTCAGCGGCGGTGCCCGGGAGGCGGCCCCAGCAGACGGACGGAGTTGTTTGGTGCGGCCTCTGCCCGCGAGGGGGGAAGCAGCGGCCGCGGCGGCGACGAGGGGGGTGAACATCTCCTCCTTCCTCCTCTGTCTCCTTCTTCCTCCTCTTTCCTCTTTCCTCCTCCTCCTCCTCTCCCTCCTCCTCCTCCTCATCTCTCCTCCTCCTCCTCCCCCTCCTCCTCTTCTTCCTCCTCCTCCTCTCCTCCTCCTCCTCCTCGTCCTCTCCTCCTCCTCCTCCTCCTCCTCTCCTCCTACTCCTCCTCCTCCTCCTCCTCCCTCCTCCTCCTCCCCCTCCACCTCCTCCTCCTCCTCCTCCTCCTCCTCCTGCCCCTCCTCCTCCTCCTCTTCTTCCTCCTTCTCCTCCTCCTCCTCCTGCTCCTCCTCCTCGGGGGGGTCGAGATATCATGGCCGGGGCCGCGATATCTCCCTGGACTTCATGGCCTCGTGTCTCCGCGCGCATGCCTCGGGGCGTGAGCTGCGAGCCCCATTGCGCCCTTCTCTTGGGCGCCCCGCCTCCCTGGACGCCCCCCCAGCCAGGAAAGCAGGCGGGCCCCGAGGAAAGATCGGGTCCTGAGGCCTTTCGCCGTGCTGGGCCTCTTGGGCCCTCCACGGGCCCCGGAGCTGGCTAAGAAGATATGACGATCGGAATTGGCATGTCCAACACTTGTTCAATAAATGATGACCCCCCCTCCCCCCCCGGCTCCCGACTGCCATTTTTTCAACGCTGAGTTTTTTTGTTTTCACTTGGCCCCTGGCAAAGATTCCACGGAAGCCGAGCGATACGATTGATACATGCACACATGTATGTTTGTATACATTTATGTCGCGTATGAGCTGTATGCGAGCAAATGTGCAGGCTACTTCGGTCTACGACTAGGTCGTTATCGTCTTACTGGGACGGTGTACGTACGCACGCGCGCGACTGCGCGCGTGCGCGCGGTGGCGTCCAGTTTTCGCGCTCGGTAGTCTCTGGTGTTTGATGGGCCCAGCGCCACCGCGCTCGCCTCCCGCGCGCGGCGTCCGCGCGCGGTTTTCCAGTCTGGCTCACTCGTCCAATGCGGGCAATTCCATGGGGCCGCCGCGGGCGCGGCGGCCACCGCAACCGAAGCGTTGCGGCCTTGCCCATCGCGGACTGCGCGTTGTTCCACACAGACCAGACCAGGGCCGCCGCCCACCTGGCGCCCTTGCCCCTCGCGCGTGGGTCGTGTTCCCCCCGAAAATATCGGAGCAAGGCCCGGCGTTTTCTCGGCACCAGTGAGGGAGGGCGTGCATGGAGTGGTCCTTGAGCGCGGTCTCGATCCACTGGTTAGGTCGCAGGGCGTGTCACGTGTAGCACGTTTGCAACCCAGAGAGGGTGTGCAGGGGGCGGTCCCTCAGCGCAGTCTCTATCCATGCTAAGTTCGTAGGGCGTGGCAGGCGTGGCCTGGCGCCGAGAGGGGGTGCGCAGGATTCCGCCCCTGCACGCGGAGCGCCTCGGCGGTTGCGGGGACGTATCCGGCGATCCGGTTTGCCCCGCCTTTTTTTTTGTTTTCCATATGCGCACCAAGCGCTGGGAGTGGTTATTTTAAAGCTGCCCCCACAGTTTTTCCAACAGTGACCGTCTTTAGACATTGCGGAGAGATTGGGGACGATGCCCAACAGCCGTTGTTGTTGTTGTTGTTGTTGTTGTTGTTGTTGTTGTTGTTGTTGTTGTTGGTGTTGTTGTTGTTGTTGTTGTTGTTGTTGTTGTTGTTGTTGTTGTTGTTGTTCTTGTTGTTCTTGTTGTTGTTGTTGTTGTTGTTGTTGTTGTTGTTGTTGTTGTTGTTGTTGTTGGTTGCTGGTGATGGTGATGGTGATGATGTGAACGTGATGATGGCGACGATGAGGCGGATGATGTCGAAGCCTCCCGGGAGCTTTCGCGAGGCACCCTCCGGGGCTTCCTGGGGCCGTCCAGGAGCTGACTGGTTGGCCGTTCTGGGCGGAACGTTCAAAACGTTCGGGAACTTCGGTCGCAAAAGCGTTCAAAACGTTCGGGAACTTCGGTCGTGCAACCCCAGTCGACGACGACGACGCCGGCGACGATGGCGACGACGACGACGGCGACGACGACGATGATGGCGACGGTGATGACGACGACGGCGACGACGATGAAGACGGCTACGACCACCACGACGACGACGACGACGACGACGGCGACGACGTCGGCGACAGCGACGGCGCCCCGTCTCACGGTGCAGGCGACACGGTGGTCGCCATGATGCGGGGAGACGAGGTCGTCAGGCCGCCAACCCGCCCTCGGGTGGGGGGGAGGAGTCGGGGGCGGCCAAGAAGGGGGGTGATGACTAGGGGGGGTATCACGGTGAAGGCCAATATCGTTCCCGGACCCCCCTGTGCCGCGCACGTGCCTCGGGCCATGGTTTGCACACACACCCCTCTTGGACGCCCCCTTCTTGGACGCCCCCGACGGGGCGTGGGGTTTGAGCTGGCTTGGGGGTCTGAGGTGGCCCAGCACTTTCTCCAGCGAGTAAACTTTCGGAAGGTCCTGTGCCTCTTTCGGCCTCTGTGGGCCGTTCTCGGGCTTCAGGACCGTCAGCGAAACATCGCACCAGATAGGCCCCGGGAGGGGTCTGGGGACCGATTTTTAGTGTATTTGACTTCGTCCTCCCTCCTGACCGATTTTCTGGGGTCCTAGGTCGGACCCCCCACCCGCCTCCAACGTGGGGCTGTTTTGCTTGTTTGTTTGGCTGGGCCCCCTGCTGTGTGAGGCGCCGCGTGGGCCAGGTGGCTGGCAGACGACGCGGGAAGCGACCTGGCCAGTTGCCGTGGTGAGGGGCGCGGCTTGGAGGGGAGGTGGTGCCGGTTTCCCTGGATATGACATGCGGATTCGGAGCGTCGCAGTGAAACTGGCAGAGTTCAGCATCCTTTGCGAGAGCGTTGATATACGCGAGCACCAGCCTGGAGGGGGGGCCAGGCGCCCCCCCCCCTCGACGGATACACCAGCCGTTCTCAAAGTTCAGCCTCCCCTCTCGGTGCCCCCATGGGAGGGCCGCAGAGGGCACCAGGAGCCCCGAGCACTGCTGACGTGCCCGCAGGGTGTGCCAAGAGGGCCCCCAGGGATGCTCAAAAGGGTCCCGGTAGTCCCAACGTCGCTATGCATTCCATAGGCAGCTCTCAACGAGGACCGAAGAGGGTTTCCGGACGGGTCCAGGAGGGCGTTTACTGGGGGAGGAGTGAGCCGGTACCGTAACGTTTCGCGCTGGCGCCGTCTCGGACTGCCTAGGAATCACAAAAAAATTGGATAGCAGATGCCTATAGGGCTCTGGTACGGCAGAGCGCCCATCTTTCCATGGATTTTCAACGGCAGACCGCCTTCCTTGCTCCTCCCTCATCCCTCACCATTATCCTTCCCCCGTCGTCGTCGTCGTCGTCGCCGTCGTCGTCGTCGTCGTCGTCGTCGTCGTCGTCGTCGTCGTCGTCGTGGTCGTGGTCGTGGTTGTGGTCATCGTCGTGGTCGTTGTCGTGCTCGTGGTCATCGTCGTGGCGCAGCCTCGTTGGGAAAGTGGGCCCAGCAGAACGGGATGTGTGTCCTGTGTTTCTTACCAGCAGGCTGCATGCCCACAGCATGGCCAGCCCGGGTGACCGCCGGACGTTGCCGCGGCCGCGCCTCTTCCCGGGGAGCGGCCCTCGTGTGGCTAAGCGCGCCAGCCAGCCGCACGCTTCTCCAGCAATTGGCCTCCGCATGTTCCACACGCGATTCCAGCCGCGTGTGTTTCCGGCCTCCTGGAAAGCCCAAGACAGCCAGCCTGATGCTCTCGATGGTAGCCCGACCAGGAAACAGAGGGCGCGGTGCGCTGTTGGTGAGGTCGAGTTGGAGGTGACCCACGGGCACCTCATGGGCTTACGCCCCTTCGCACGCCCCCAGCGCGCCCCAGCGATGCGGTGCGCACGCGGTGGTGCAGCGAGGCCCTCTGCAATGCAGCAAGGATGAAGAGGAAGACAAGCGGAGGAGTATGTGGAAGAGGCATGGGAGGAGGATGCCGGAGACGACGAAACCACTCCCCCCCTCGGGGTCCAAGAGCGCCCAGACCTTTCCCAACAGCACGAACCAAGGATTGCAAAAAGGATTGCAAAAAAACCAAGGATTGCAAACAAACCAAGGATTGCAAAAAGGATTTGCAATCCTTCGTAAAAGGGTTTTTTGCAATCCTTCGTTTTTTGCAATCCAACATAACTCGAAGCACACATGTCTTTTTTCGGGCCTGGCCCCGCCCGCCTCGCCCCCCTTCTCGCTGTTCGATCTCCCCTCCTTCACTCTTCTGGCCTCGCGTGGAGCACGTGGCAGTGCAAGGAGGGGGACGAGGACGACGAGAGGAGGAGGAGGAGAAGGAGGAGGGGGCGGAGGAGGCAGGGGAGAGGATCGGTCAACAGCGCACTGCGTTCCCAGCAGTCCGCTGCGTTGCGTGTAGCCATCCGTTTCTATGCATCGCAGGCTCTCGCATGTCCACAGCATGGCGCACGTTCTGCCATAGCAGGTCCAGGTTGGCATCTGCTGTTCAAGCTTTCTTGGCAATGCCCAGGCATTTCGAGACGGCGCTGGCACCCATCATGCAGATAACGCGCGTTATCGCCAAACAGAAGACACGTTTTCCAAGAGAGTCCAACTGGGCCCGAATCGGTCCGAGTCAGCCCGAGGACGGCCCACGTGCGCACCGACATGTCCGAGAAGTGCCCCAGGGTCAGCCGCCCCGGGCCAGAAGTGAGTAGTTCCGTCCAGTGTCGTGCGTTGACGTGCGAGTTTCGTCCTGGCTCCCCTCTCCTCGCCTCTTCCTCTGGCCATATATATATATATTATATGTATATACATATGTGTATATGCACATACAGATGTATGTACACAGACACGTATGTACACACATGTATGTATGTATGCATGCGTGTATGTATGTCTGTCTGTCTGTCTGTCTGGCTGTCTCTCTGTCTGTCTAGCTGTCTGCATGCACGTATGTATGCACGTATGTATGTATGTATGCACGTATGTATGTATGTATGTATGCATACATGCATGCATGCATGTATGTATGTATGAATGTTTGCAAATATGTATGTATGTATGCATGTTTGCATGTTTGTATGGATGTATGTATGTATACATACAGATATGTATGTGTGTATGCATGCACATACGTATATATGCAGGTATACATGTGTGTCGGTGTGTATGCATGTAAGTATGCATGCATGCATACATTAACGTATACATGCAGGTATGTATGCACGCATGCATGTATGCATGGATGCGTGTATGTATGTATGTACGTATGCATACATGTATGCATGCATGCATGCATGTATGCACGTGTGTATGCATGTCTGTATACATGTATGTGTACGTGCATGTATGTATGTATATATGCATGTATGTACGTATGTATGCATGTGTGTATGTATGTATGTATGTATGCATGTACGTATGTATGTATGTATGTATGTATGTGTGTAATTGTGTATGTATATATGTATGTATGTATGTATGTATGTATGTATGTATGTATGTATGTATGTATGTATGTGTGCATGTGTGCATGTATGTATGTATGCATGCATGTATGCATGCATGCATGCATGTATGTATGTATGTATGTATGTGTGTATGTATGTATGTATGTAATTATGTATGTATGTATTTATGTATGTATGTATGTATGTATGTATGTATGTATGTATGAATGTATGTTTGTCTATATGTCTATATGTATGTATGTGTGTGTATGTAATGCACGCATGTGTGCATGCGTGTATGTCTGTCTGTCGGTCTGTCTGTCGGTCTGTCGGTCTGTCGGACTGTCTGTCTGTACGTATGTATGTATGCATGCATGCATGCATGTATGTATGTATGTATGAATGCAGATCTGTATGTGTGCATGCATATAAGCACACACACATGTATATATATATATATATATATACGTAGAACAAATATCCGTGCCCGCCGACTCGGAGCCGAGCCCTGGAAACGTGGAGGTCACCTCGAGATGACCTGGAGTAGTAGTGGCACCACGTCCTCCCGGTCCTCTTGCTCTGTTCCCTGCGGTGATCTTCGAGGTCAGAACGCGGGTCGGTCATGGACAGCTGCCGGCCCCAGGAGGGCGGGGACCCCGCGGTGCCTAGGCCCACCGCTCCCCGGGGATGCAGGACCAAGCCTGAACAGCCGCGGAAGGTGGACGTGTCGCGGCGGTGCAACTCGTCCCCGACCTCGACCTCGTCATAGACCGCGTCCTCGACCCCCCCTCGTCCTCGACCTCGTCCTCGTCCTCGACCTCCGTTCGTTTTCTTCGCCCCCGTCCTCGGCCTCCCCGCGGCGTGCGAGGCCGGGCAGGCGCGAGTTCCCCGAGAAGGGCACCGAGAAAGGCGCGAGTTCCCAGGGGGGGCAGGGGGCCGGGCTGGAATGGCCTAGAGATGGATGAGGAGGAGGAGGAGGAGGAGGAGGAGGAGGAGGAGGAGGAGGAGGGTGATGATGTTGATGATGATGAGGAGGAGGAGGAGACGGAGGGACGAGAGGGAGGAGGAGACGGAGGGACGAGGGGGAGGAGGAGGAGAGGAGGAGGAGGAGGAGGAGGAGGAGGAGGAGGAGGAGGAGAGAGGAGGAGGAGGAGGAGGAGGAGGAGGAGGAGGAGGAGGAGGAGGAGGAGGAGGAGGAGGAGGAGGAGGGAGGAGGAGAGGAAGGAGGAGGAGAGGAGGAGGCCTTTGAGGAGGAGGGAGGGGTCCCACCTCAAGCTTTCAGTCGGGCGTGTCCCTCTACAGGAGGACTATCCAAAAATAGTTTAACCATAGGATGGGGACCGTGTTTCAAACACTTCTGTATTATGTTTGATGTTTCTTTGGGGGTACTTTTGATTTTTCGTCCAAACTTCTCCTGTAGGAGACACGCCCGACCTTAACACAAGCTCTCGGGCTCCTACTCGGATGAGGGGAAGGTACCCATACCGCTACCTTTCGCTCGTTTTCTTCTCTTTGGGCCTCCTCGGGGGCACTCGTCGTCACCGCTGGATTCGCCTTGAAATCCTGGTCAGACCGCGCCCCGGGAGAGGTCCCAGGAGTGGCGGTATCAGTACCTTTTCATTTCCCCAGGTACGTTCCCTGAGACCCTTACTTCAACAGTTTCGAGCGCCAGCACGACAGTGCCCGATGGTTGGGGACGAAAAGCAGCGACGGCTGAAAGCGCCGAAGACGGAGGACCTTTCTGTCAAGGTATGCGGAGGCTTACGCAGCAGAATGCCGCGAGCCGCCTTCAGCTTGTTTGTTGCTGCATGTGCGTGTATGTTGAATGTCGCACTGGCTGGAGTTAGCTCATGCTTGAAAACTTGAGGCAGAAACCCGGGGAGACGGGACCGCCAAGAAAAGAAGGGGCCTTTTTGGAAAGGGGCCATCGTTTTATGTATGTATTTATTCCCTCAAATGTGTTATAAGCATTTATATGTATATGTCGTCCTACCAGGGGTGACCGAGGGGGCCGGGGGGCCGAGAGGGCTGCGAGGTGTCTCCAAGATGGCCCCGGACGTTCCAAATGTCGCCAAGATTGCCCAAGCCCGCCGCGAAGTGTCCCAGGAGAGCTCGGAGACATCTCGATGAGAGTCGAAGAGCGGCCAAGCGTTTCCAGGATTGCCCTAAGTCGGCCCCGATGGGGCACACGTCGCCCCCACAAAGCACAACATAAGGCACACATGTTCAAGACACAGCGGAGATCAGAGTTTTTCCCGACCCTCCTGTGGTGCTGGGTCCTCGTTTTGAAGTGAGAGCGCCCCGCGTCCATCCTCTCCTCTCCTCCTCCCCCTCCTCCTCTCCCTCCTCCCTCCTCGCATCCGCCTCGTCACCTCCCTGTACAGCGTTTCGGGGCCCCATAGGGAGCTCCACCGAAGGCTCCAGTGGCAGTGTCCGCATGCGTCACCACCACCCAGCACAGCGATTCGTGGCCCCATTGGGAGCTCCACCGAATGCTCCAGTGGCAGGGTCCGCATGTGTCACCGCCACCCAGGACAGCGTTTCGTGGCCCCATACGGAGCTCCACCGAAGGCTCCAGTGGCAGTGTCCGCATGCGCCACCGCCACCCAGGACAGCGTTTCGTGGCCCAATCGGGAGCTCCACGGAAGGCTCCAGTGGCACGGTCCGCATGTGTCACCGCCACCCAGTACAGCGTTTCTCGGCACCGAAGGCTCCAGTGGCAGGGTCCGCATGCGCCACCGCCGCCCAGGACAGCGTTTCGTGGCCCCATAGGGAGCTCCACCGAACGCTCCAGGGGCAGGGTCCGCATGCGTCACCGCCACCCAGTACAGCGTTTCGCGGCCCCATAGAGTCTCCACCGAAGGCTCCAGTGGCAGGGTCCGCATGCGTCACCGCCACCCAGGACAGCGTTTCGTGGCTCTCTAGGGGGCTCCATCGAAGGCTCCAGTGGCAGGGTCCGCATGCGTCACCGCCACCCAGGACAGCGTTTCGCGGCCCCATATGCACCTCCACCGAAGGCTCCAGAGGCAGGGTCTGCATGCGCTACCGCCGCCCAGGACAGCGTTTCGTGGCCCCATAGTGAGCTCCACCGAATGCTCCAGGGGCAGGGTCCGCATGCGTCGCTGCCACCCAGGGCAGCGTTTCGTGGCCCCATAGGGAGCTCCACCGAAGGGTCCAGTATCAGGGTCCGCATGCGTCCGCGCCACCGATTTCGGCGCACCCCTCGCACTCTTCGTGGCCCCGTAGGGAGCTCCACCGAGAGCGGTACCCACAATGCGGCACTCGCAGCTACATTGTGTCCTTCGTCAGGCGAATTTTGTGTATTTTTGGAGTGATTCATTTTTCCGAACCATCCTGTGTCGTTGTGTCTTCGTTTTGAAGAGGCAGTGCCCCGCGTCCCTCACTCCTGCTCCTCCCCCTCCTCCCTCCTCCCGTCATCATCATAATCATCTTCATTATCGTCATCGTCATCACTGACGTCATCACCATCATCATCCTCACCACGACCGCCCTCATCACCACCATCGTTATCATCAATGCCGTTATCATCACCATCACCCCCCACACGTTTCGTGGCCCCTTAGGGAGCTCCACCGAAGGCCCCAGTGCCACCGCGTTCGGCACACACACACACACACACCTCACACGTTTCGTGGCCCCATAGGGAGCTCCACCGAAGGCCCCAGTGCCACGGCGCGCATGCGTCACGCACACCGATTTCGGCACACCCTTCACACGTTTCGTGGCCCCATAGGGAGCTCCACCGAAGGCCCCAGTGGCACCGCCTGCATACGTCACACACACACACACACCCATTCCGGCACACCTCTCACATGTTTCGTGGCCTCATACAGAGCTCCACCGAAGGCACCAGTGCCACCGCCCGCATGCGTCACGCACACCAATTTCGGCACACACCTCACACGTTTCGTGGCCATAGGGAGCTCCACTGAAGGCCCCAGTGCCTCCCACCGCCCGCATGCGTCACGCACACCAATTTCGGCACACACCTCACACGTTTCGTGGCCCCATAGGGAGCTTCACTGAAGGCCGCAGTGCCACCGCCTGCATGCGTCACGCACACCCATGCCGGCACACCCCTCACGCGTTTCGTGGCCTCACAGGGAGCTCCACCGAAAGTCCCAGTGCCACCGCCCGCATGCGTCACGCACACTAATTTCGGCGCACCCCTCACGCGTTTCGTGGCCCCATAGGGAGCTCCACTGAAGGCCCCAGTGCCACCGCCTGCATACGTCACGCACACCCATTCCGGCACACCTCTCACGCGTTTCGTGGCCCCACAGAGAGCTCCACCGAAGGCCCCAGTGCCACCGCCCGCATGCGTCACGCACACTAATTTCGGCGCACCCCTCACGCGTTTCGTGGCCTCACAGGGAGCTCCACCGAAAGTCCAAGTGCCACCGCCCGCATGCGTCACGCACACTAATTTCGGCGCACCCCTCGCACGCTTCGTGGCCCCACAGGGAGCTCCACCGAAGGCGCCACTGGCTGCGTTCGCATGCGCCCACTGTATCTATTTCGGCACACCTCTCACGCGCTTCGTGGCCCCATAGGGAACTCCACCGAAGGCCCCAGTGGTTGCTTTCGCATGTGCCCGGCGCCATCTAAAGATCAGCCTCCTGCCAGGAGGCCTTCCCCCCTTCCCCTACCCCCTTGTGCGCGCCGCCAATTTTTGCCACCGCTTTCGGCATCTGGGATCCCTCGCCAGGCCCCGGGTCAGTGAAGAAGCGGCTGAGGACGCAGAGCCGGCCTTGGGGAACGGATCGGGACTGCAAGGGCCTCGTACCGAACAGATCATATGCATCGGATCCCTGGGCGTCTCGCCTTCGCTTCTCGTCACCCTCCTCCCCCCGCGCAGGCAAGGGCAAGGGCAAGGACAAGGGCTCCAGCTTCGGCGCCGCACCCACTGGGCCGGGCAGGCCCGAGCAGCGCGCGCGCGCGGGGCCGCCTCTGGGCAGGCCCAGGATGCAGCTCTCCTCCCTCCTCCTCCTCCTCCTCCTCCTCCTCCTCCTCCTCCTCCTCCTCCTCGTCGTGGTCGTTGTCGCCCAGGTCGTGTGAGGCTTCCTCGCCAGCGCAAGACGACCACACAGGTATCGAACCTGTGAACGCCATCGCGGGCAGCGTGCACAAGGGCTGTAATGGCGCCCTGCTGATGGGCGGCGGGGCTCTGGGAGGCTCTTCTCGCAGCATGTGCTACTGCCGGAGACGCTGCTGTTCCTCTTGGTGGACAACTACCAACATGGCATTTTCTGCATAACAGTCCGTTGTCGGCCAGACGCCGTTCTAGATTAGATGGCGTTGAGCTGACCGCAACATCATGTGACGCGATCGTCCTGACAGGCACCCAGAGGCCAACATACCTTTTCGCTGAACAGTACCGTTCGGGGCCAAGACGGAGGATTGATGCAGGGTGCTGACAAGGCGCCAACACAAACAAGGCGACACGCAGTTCTACGACTTTTGGCAAGAAGCTTCGAGAACCACATGTACGACGAATTCGACTACAACCTGCTGCTCTTGTTGGGCGAGGCTACAGTACGTATTGCAACTCGTTGGCACGTTTTCCCCTCTTCGACCCACCCGTGCTCGAGCCACATTGGCCACAGTATATGAGAGTACGATGCTGAAGGTCTTCGGCCGGGTGTCTGACGTTCTGACGGAGACACCTTGGAATATACCCACCATCGGCATTGATTGCAACGGTGGGATGGGATAGCAGATGGGACCTCGCGGCCAGCTACAACTGTGGGCTCCCACCGCTGAGCCCGCCCAGAAACCTTGCAGGAACATCGCTTCGTCAAATGCTGGCATTGCATCACATGTGAGCGACCAACGCAATTAATGATATGGTTACCCAGTATACAGGCCAAGGCCAGAGTAGCTTAGTTGATTGTCTATGCGTCCGGATTCGATAGCAATCACGTCGTCGGGGTCTCTCTATGCGGCTGGGACAAGCATTCCGAGCCATCAGCACGAAGCAAACCTGGTATTTTTTACCCATGCATCAGGGTATTTGCCTGGCTGCCAGGCCTCCTGAAAATTCGACGACCTCGCTTCAATGGTGCAAACATTCCACGGTGGACGAGTTCACTGGCCAAACAACGCTCCTTGGAAACTGTGGAAGTGTACATGACGCGCGTCACTGGGCACTATATGACGGGAACTGATTTGGAACTCTCCGATCGAATCTTCGAGCAGATTCAGACCGCTCTTCGAGCATATTCAGACCGGGCGTTACGTATTTCGTCAACACACACAATTTCGTCATGACAGATTTTAGGCCCGTCGCCGCCACCCGCATGGCTTGCAGGCGCAGAAGCACGCTCCTGATAATAACTTGCTGTAGTTGGCGAGCGTGAGGTTTGGGAAGTAAGCGATGAGCTGCAACGGTGACCCCCGCATGTCCAGCGTGCCCTTACGCAAGAATAAGAACATATCGGACTGAGCTCGTCAAAGGCGATGTGGAGAACGTGACGGGAGAAAGCCCTGTGACAAGTTCCGGGCGGCAGGCGCTCAGTAGGGCGTGCAGCCCGGGCCGCGCCTCGCTTTGAAAATGATGGGATAAAACATCGAACGCTGTATGGAGGCATGGGGCCAAGGTGGCCCTGATGTAGGCGCGCGCGCCAGACGCGTTCCCGATTGTTTCCGAGAACGACGACAGCGCCTCGATCTGAATTACGTTGCCGAAGGCCTCGACCAGGCCTTGAACAGGGAAGCAAAATGGAATCTCCGGAGGTTCACATTCACTGCTCGGGCCCGCAGGGCCCCGCAATGAAGGGCGTGTCCGCCATGGTCGGTGCCGAAGAAATTCTCGGAGATCTTCGTGGCCCCATGGTGCTCGCTCTGAGGCCCCGCTCACTATGTCAGCGCCCCAGGATTGATTTGTTTGCGCTCCAGCAGTCCCGGATGGCCCGTCTGTTCCACGTGGGTCTTGGTGTCGGCTGGCCCGCAAAGGCAAACCAGCGCGATGTAGGCGATAGCTCTCAGAGCATGCGCGTCGCGCGCCTGCCGCCCAGCCGTGGGGGGCTGGATGGCGCTGCGTCAGTCGCCTGTCCCCCGACGCGCCCTGTCAAGCAATGGCTTCCTCCGTGGGGGCTGCAGAGAGCCTGCCGTCGAATGGAGAGCCGCGGATTCAGGTGGATCGGTTCTCGCGCAAACGCACGGTTTAAAAAGGGCTTCTTGCAGTGGCGGCTGGGGCGTTCTGACTGCCGCGCCGAGGCCCTGGCGCAAGAAGGTTTATCGCCCGAGTGTTCTTGGGGCCGAGGCAGTCTATCCAAGCCCCCCGGCCCGGCGTGAACCGGCGGCGGCGACCAGTGCGCGCGTGGATTCTGCGCTGTAGATTCCTCGACGGGTAGCAATTTGGACGCGTCAGCCCCTCGGCGCGCAGATGGCGGTTGGAGGTTGTTTTTTGTTCACGGCTGGTGAGCGGCTTGGATTTCGCTGACTGCGCGCAGCTTGCTGTCGAGCGCTTTGCCGAGGCGCCCTTCCGCCGCGGGCCGTGCGCGGCGTCGGCGCGGGCAGGGGCTTGCCCCCGCGTCCGAGGAAGCGGGCCGCGCGCTCGCGGCAGAATGGCCCGAGGCGCCCGCGATGCGTTTGAAGCGAATCCGACGGCGCGCCGCCCGACTTCTGATGCGCTCGCATACCATTCTGTGCGATTTGGCGCAGCGCGACGCCGCGATGCAAAATGGCGATATCCGCGCTTGGCCCAGGGCCAAGCAGAAGATTGGTTGACGGACCACCTGCGCGAGGGAACCAGGAGGTCCTGGAATCGACCTGGCTGGCAATCTGAACCAGCTCGACTTTGGTCGCCGTCGTCGGGTAGCCAGCGACTCGACGCCCCCCCCCCCCCCCTCCGGATTGCGACGCGCCCGCGCCCTTGTGGCCGAGGGGGAGGCCCCGCCGATGGTCGAGGATGCTTGCAGGGACTGGGCGCGCGGAGCCAGGGCAGATGCGGGGCCGCGTGCGAGTCCGTCTTGGAGTTTCCGCGTTTTTTTTTTTTTTTTTTTTTGGGGGGGGGGGCGTCGCATGCCGGGTCGCGGCGCGCGAGATGCCCGGATGCAGGTTGTCGCCGCGAACGCCCGCCTCTCCCGCTCGACTGAATATTTGGGCGCGTCGCGGGCTCGACGCCATATCGTGGGCGCGTCGCGCAGTGGAGGCAGGTGCATCTCGCGTTCTCGGCTTCGCGGCGGGCCGTGCGATCCATGCAGGTGTTCTTGTTATCACTGCTGCTGCGTTGGCCCCCGCGTCGGGGAGTTGCAAGCTCGCCCGCGCAGGCGCGCCCCTCCCGCGGCCCGCTGGGTCGATGAATTCGGCGGCGCCCGCGCAGGGTCTGAAGCGGACAGGGGGGCGCCAGCGGGGGCGCCCGGGCCATCGATGAAATCGCAAAGTTGCCGAGTTGGCGGGCAGCGAGAGCGCGGGGCGCGCGGCGAAGCTAGTTTGCGTCGACGCGCCTCGAGCGGGCGAGCGCCGCCGGGGTCGGGGGGGATCGGGCATTCCGCGGCGGTGGTGCGTTCCGGCCGCGCGCGCCGCAGCGCGCCGCGCGCTGCCGCCGCTAGCGGAGCGCGCAGTGGCGCGCGTGGCACAGGCAGGGGAAGTCGCTGACCACGAGAAGGCGAAGGATGCAAGAAATGACCCAGCAACGACAGAGGAGCTTGGGCCCCCGCGGCTTCTCAAATGCACCGCGGCACCCCGAGCGCTGGCGGCGATGTCGGAGGGGCTGACCTTGGGAGAGAGACATCCAGGAGGGCTTCTGAGAGACTGGAGCGACGGGGGCCGAGTCCGTCCTCGAGCTGCCTGAAATGGCCCGGGACGCCCAGGTGAAGCCCGCGAAGAAGACGGACTTCGGTTGCGAGAATGCGAGAAGTGCAACGAATCCTTCGCGGTCAAGGTGACTCGCGAGGGTCTCGAGCGCGCCCTTGTCCGAGGACGGATGGTGGCGGGGGGTCAGCCGCGCGGTCGCCCCTGCCTGACGCGGCCCCCGGGAGCGTCTGACTCAGGAGTTATTGGGCGAGATGGGGAAAGAGGCGGGCCGGGGCAAGGTTAAGGGCATGTGCGGCGGCCAGAAAGGGCGACCCATATATAGCAGCACGCAGCAAGTGGTGATTGGCAGACGCTCGATTCGATGGCTCGAGCTGGCGCTCGCTGCAGGTTCCGCCCATATTGCGCTGATCCGCCGAGTTGAGGCGACGGGGGAAGGGGGTGGCGTGTTGGACGTGGGGAGAGGGAGGGGGATCGTAGGAATTTTATTCACTTTCTGCATGTAGGGCCGAGGCCCCGGCCCATGGCCCAGGGCGGTGCCGGGTGGCCCCGGAGCCGCGCCGCCAACCTGGGCGTTGCCGACGGCTTGGGGGTGAATCCCTGCCCGGCGCAATGGCAGTTGGTATTCCTGTAGCAGGTACACAGAGTGCGTTCCACTCGACAAAGTGCATGTGTTTTTCGTCGGCGCAGTGTCGGAACGAGTTTTGAGGTGACAATCGGACATCGCTCCTAGAGGTGTTGGGTTGAGTCGTTGTCGTGTCGACGTCGTCCTCGTCGTCGTCCGTCGCCGCCGCCGCCGCCGTCGTCGCCTCAGTCGTCATCGTCGTCCTCCGCGTCGTTCGTCTTGCACGCGCTCTGTGGAAGCCGCTTCCCCGCCAAGGAAGTGCGCGCCATCGTGCGCACCAGAACCCGACAAATTCGTTCGTGTTGTACGTGCCTGGCGCACGTGTTTGTTTGGCATCCGCAGTTTGCATGCCGATGTGCTCGCGGAGCTTCCATCACCCGGCGCGCAGATTTTCTGTGCAGTATGCGTCTGTGTGCTTGTGTACGCCATCCATATCGACTTTTTGCATCTCAATGTGTGTACGCGTGTACGCGTTAATGTGTGTACACGTCGTGCCCCTTCTGTCTAAAACAATCTTGCGCGCGCCGGGGTTCCTGTCCCTTTTTGCAGAAGCATTGTGCCCCCGCTCCGTACACAGTTATTTTGAGATGGTGTGGTCACGCACCTCGCCAGCGGGATGGTCTCATCGGTCTAGCGCGTTTCCTGCGGCCCGCGCAATCATTCATGCACGCGTGCACCATCGAAGGCCCACGCAATACATTCTCTATGTCGATCGGCTCGTGTCGATTGCATCGGTTCACGCGTGGCCATTAGCATCAGCTTCGATTTGCGAAGCGAGCCCTAGGTCACATGTCGTCGGCATTGTGGTGGGTAATCCAGGCCCCGCCCCGCCGATTGGATCCAGTCCCCCTGAATCTGAGGACGCGCAGGGGCCTCATTTTGGTTTCCCCCTTGACCAAGACCCTTGGGCGATCCCACGTGTAATACACGGCTGGCGTTGTCCAACATTCCCCCCCTTCACCCCTGCCCCCTGGCACTACCCAGACCCCCGGCGTCGTGATTTTTCACCACGTGACCCTCCAGGGGCTCGCACCCCAGTGACCAGTTTCATCCCAAGTTGGCTTTTGACTGTCTAGGGGCCTTGCGAGGCCCCCAGAGGCAAAGACTATAGCCTGAACTTCCCGTCGTGTTTTTTCGCGACTCGACTGGGTTCTGGGTATCCTTTTTCCCCTTCGACGGGGCGGGGAATGCCAGGGAATGACGAATGGCAGCCGGCGTGGGGACGATGAGGAGATAAGAGGGAGGAGGGAGAGAATGGATGGGAGGGGAGGGGATGGAAGGAGGGCGGAGGGAAGGATGCAGGGATGAGGAGGAGGAGGAAGAGGACGAGGAGGAGGACGATGATGAGGAGAAGGCAGACGATTGAAGAGGAGGGAGGGGGGAGGGGGGAGGATGGGGTGGACGGATGGATGGAGGGAGGGAGGGAGGAGGAGGAAGAAGAGGAGGAGGACCAGAGTGAACCCAGGACTCATCAACGACATTGGAGTAAACCCTAAGCTCCTTAGTCATAGGCCCCATACCAGGATCCAGCTACACTGAGGGAAGGGCTCCTTTGCGAGACAAGCGTTCGAAGAGGCTGAAGCTTGCCGAATCACCACTGTCTCGGACTCCAACGCCACGAATCAACGTGACTGTTGCGCCTTGACGACTAGAACACCATTCCTGGTATTTCAACACTGCGAATTCATGTTACTGTCGCGTCCTGATAATCCGCACTTGTGCCACAACATGATTTCTTGGACGTCAGCGATCAGAATCTATGAATCTGCTGTACACCGTTAAGATGAATGTGCGGAACCTTCAGGCGATAACCATATTTTGCAAAGGAACCGCCCTCAATCCGTGAACCGTATTTCAAATTTGTATGACGAATGTGCGCGGCGTTGTGGCGAGAACCACATTTTGAAAACGACCCGCTCCCAATCCGTGAATACTTTGTGACAGTTGAAAACGAATGCACGCTGCCTTAAGGCGAGCCACAGTTTGAAAATAACCCGCCTTCACGTGGAACCCTTGCAATACCATAAGCCGATTCTGCGCTGCGCTAAGGCAAGAGCCATACTCTGGAAACGACCCGCCCTCCATCGGTGAAGCTGTTGCCTTTCTCTTTGCTTCAGGACCATGGTGGGTATGGAAGTCTTCGGCTTCGGGGTGCGACAGGGAGGAGTCATTCATAATAAGGCAAAGGGATGGTGGGGGGAAGAGGAAGGAAGGGATAGAGGAGGAGGGGGAGGAGGAGGAGGAGGCGGAAGAGGAGGTGGAGGAGGAGAGGCGGAAGAGGAGGGAGGAGGGAGGGAGGAGGGGGGAGGGAGGAAGGGGGATAAGGGAAGAGGGGAGTGAGGGAGGGAGGGGAGGGAGGGAGGGAAGGAGGGAGGAGGAGGGAGGCGGGGGGCGAGGAAGGAGGGAGGATGATGAGGAGGGGAGAAGAGGAGGGGGAGGAGGATGGAGCAACACCGGGAGGTAGGAGAGGCCCCCTCCTCCTTCGGCGGGGCCTCGGCGGGGCAGGGCATGTGCCGAGGGGTTTCGGCGGCGGCGGGGAGAGGGCGCGCCGCCGCCAGGCCCGACGGAGGGTCTGCCGGCGCCGACGAGGAACGCCAGCGCCGCCCGCGGGCTGGGAGCCCCAACTCGGCCGCGGTCTGCGGTCTGGCAGCGTGTTGCTGTGGAGACCCTTGCCGAGAAGCAACCTGGTTGCCTCCAGGGTGCCCTGGGTTTCTTTGGTTTCGATGGTTTTGCTATGGAGCGCGTGACGTTCCCACACCAGACATCAGTGGACGTCCTGGGGTCTCAGGGTTGGGTTGCTTCTGGATGGTTTCGTGTGGACAGGCCTCCACTGTATTCAAGCTTTTCTAAAGTAGGAAAAGTTCCCATACCTCTACCCTTCCCTCTTTTTCCCCTTTTTGGACCTTCTGACAGGCCCTCGCTGCCACCGTTGCATTCGCCTCGAATTGAACGCACCCCCGGAGAGGTTCGGGGAGTAGCGGTATCGGCGTCGGTACCTTTGGGTTTCCCCAACTCAAGCAGGGGCGAGGCGTTTTAGCTTGCGTATAGGCCCATCAAGGAATGTTCGAATAGCCTTTTGTGGTCTGCACGAAATGTTATTAGAACGTTTCTGGCTGGGGCTGCCTCGTCGATGGCTGGCTTCGCTCGAAAAAGCGTTGACGTGGACGTCCAGGGGGCAGGTGTGCGCGGTGTGCTCTGCACATGATGAGCTCAGCGGGGCCAAGCTTACTTCACGGGTCAGCGCTACCAAAGGAAAGCGCAGGAAGGGAAGACAATTCTTTGTACCTCTTCGGGCCTTCCTGAAACTTCTCTGAAGCTCTCTGGGCTGTGTTGGGTTCCTCTTGGGCCGTACTGAGGTCACGTTGGGCCGTCTTGGGGCCATATTCGGCTGTGTTGGAGGCAACTTGGGCCATCTTTGCGGTTCTGAGGGGTTTCCGTGGATGTCTTGGAAACCTTGGAGAGATGCACTTGGGGCCACTGTTGCCATTCTGATGGGTTTCCGTGGATGTGTTGGAAGCCTTGGAGAGGTTTCGAGAGGTTCAGGGTGGCTCCTTTGCGGCTCAGGGAGCCTTGGTGATTGGTGAGGGGGGCAATGCATGCAAAGCAGTGCGAGTAGATGGGGTTTGGTACTTTATGTAGAAAGCTACAAATTCTCAGCTAGACAGCACGTGGCATTATACTACGCCTTCAGTCGCCACGAGGCACAGTGGCAGAAGGATTCCTATACTCGAGTCTACTTTAGACGCCATCCTATTTCAATCATCGGATGGTTTTCCCCTTTTCCCTCCGTTTCGGGGGCGGTTCGGGAACCCAATCGAGGCCCTACTTCTACTTACATGTCTCGCCCCGCCCCTTCCGAACGATGGGTATGCTTGGGCGCAATTCCTGGGAGGTCTAACTCAGTATCGGCGCCTGTATATTCTTGGTCGGAAAACCGACCTAAACCGACGAACGTAGGCCCGTTTACGTCCGCTTGATCCCGTTCAATCCGGCGTGATCCTGGTCGCAATCAAGGCTGATCTGGCTAAGATGCCCCGCAATAGTGGCCGCTGATCGATCTTCCGAAGAGCTCCCTGGGGAGTTGCCTCCTGAGCTCCTCAGGAGGATTAAGTCGGGCGTGTCCCTCTACAGGAGGCATTTTGAACAATAGAAACAAACAACAGTAAGAGGGACGACGCTTCTAGTAGTATGTTTAGCTTTCTCTTACAGAAAGAAAGCACATGCGTCCAACATCCTCCTGGAGGGGGACACGCCCGACCTGAACGTAGGACGTACTCCCCGCCCCGCCCCCCCCGCCCTCGCCACCCCCGCGCGCTCCCCGCCCCAGGACGACCGACGAGACCGGGAGGAGAAGGGCCAGGGCCGCGGGCGACAGGCCCCGGGCGGCCCTCTCCGCCGGCCGCGCCTCGGCCCGGCGCCCGCGGAGGGCCTCCTCGCTCGCCCTCCCTCGTCCTCCGCCCATGTCGGGGGCGGCAGAGAGGGGGGGTGGCGACTAGGGGGGGGATCTCGTGGCGTGGGCCACGATATCTCCCCAGATTCGAAGGCGCCCCTTCTCCTCATGACTCTCATCTCAGGACGTCCCTGGCCCCCCCCCCCTTTTGGGCCGCGCACATGCCGCCGGCCACGATTTGCACCCCCCCTCTCGGATGCCCCCCCTCCTGGCCGCTCCCGAGGTCCTCCCCCCTGTAGCCGAAGGAGAAGTAAACCGCCATCGGCACAAACTTTTGGCGCTCCGCGCGAATGTCTCGGCTCCGCGCCAGGGGCCCTCCCGGCGGAGGCCCCATGGCGCGCTCCCGGCGCAGATCCAAGAAATCCGCGCGGAGCGCCAGAAGTCTACGTTTATGCCGTTTTTTCTCCTTCCATATAGGTGTACCCCCAGAGATCCAACGGATTGACAAAAATCACGACGGAGGTTTTTCATTATTTTCTGCCTCTAGGGGCCCTTACCGGGCCTCGGGACCGTCAAAAAATGATTCAGGATGAAAAACTGGTCCTGGGGAATGGGTGGTCGAGACTTCCAGGGACCCAGTATTGACAAAATCACAACATCGGATCTCAGGGCCACTGGCTGCACGTCGCGCGTGACCCATGACCTCGCATACCATGCAGGCGAGTTGGCTGAGGTATGAGGTGCGCACGCGGTATCACACGGTGTGCACTTCCCCACGTCACAGGACACGTGCCATGCCGAGTCGATCAGGCGTTTGTCATCCCTGTCCTCCTCGTCCCTCAGGCGAAGAAAAGCTACAGTCAACCCGCATAGCAAGGGTGGACACCTTTCCCAAGGGTACTCTTGCATCTTTGCCTCCTCGGCCAATCCTTGGCCAACTTTCGTTGGCCGCGCCCTGCTCGAAAAGCTTCGAAATGGGCGTCCAAGGCTCTTGCATCCTTACCGCGCATCCTTACTATACGGGCCGAGTGCACCGACACCGATGCCGGTACCCTTGCCTCGTTGTCGCTGTCTTGGGCCGCCAGGGAGGCTCTCGTCGCCGCGGCCAGCTTCGCCTCGCCATCCTGGTTAGAAAGCGCCCCTGGAGAGGGCTGTCCGTTGCCGTCTCCCCCTGCGGCTCCTTGGTTCTCCTCGTTGCGTCGTTCGCCTCTGCCTGCTAGTTCTCCTTCTCCCCCGTCGTCGTCGTCGTCGTCGTCGTCGTCGTGGACGCGCCCTGCAGACCTCCGGCGACTTGACGGCGGCGACGGCGGCGGCGACAGCCGCGGCGACGGCAGCGACGACCGCCGCGTGGTCGGTTCGGCGATTTTGAGTCGTTTCTGGAGGTTCCCGTCGCCACGGCCAGATTAGCCCAGCACATTTGGTCAGAACGCATCCCTGGTCAGGCCTGGGGAGCCGCGTTTGACCTGGATACCGGGCAGCTCTGGAGGTTTCGACCGCCCCTTTTCCAGGGACAATTTCCTGACCCCCGCGCTGTTTCTTGGTCGGTCCTGCGGCCCGGCGAGGGCCCCCAGAGGCCGAGAGATGTCACAGATTATCCCCGCACTAACCAGTTTGAAGACGCCAAGGGTCCGTCGTCAGTGTCCCATTCGATCCGATCGATCCGATTCGATGTGGTTTTCGGCCGGCCCGATCCGATTCGATTCCGATATTCGGACGATCCGATGCGGCCCGATGTTTGCATGACGTTGTTTTGCATCTTGGCGCTTCCGATTCGACTCCATTCCGACTCCGTGCCGATGCAGTTCGACCCGAGGAAGAATTCGATTCGATCCGATTACCCGTTTCGACTTTGACTGATCTTGGTTCATCGACCACACAGGAACCCCTGACCCGACTCACCCGATTGAGACGCGGCCTCACTGAGGTCCATGTCATCGCAGTCGGGATAACAACTCCTTGGCGGTCTGGTCTCATACATCAGATTCCCTTAACTTAGGTCCCCTCCCAATAGCTGAGGGGGGCCCTTCTTTGGCAAGGGCGCCCTCGAGGGCGCGAAGTTGTTCGCGCTTCGCGCTTCGCGGTCCGGCTCCGATTCCTCCTCGTCCTCCTCTTCCTTCTCCCTTTGGGAGGCGGCGCGTGAGCGCGAAGTTCTTCGCATTTCGCGCTTCGCGCAGCGCGAAGCGCCAAGTCGGGAGCCCTGGCTTTGGTCAATCCTTGGTCGTGCTTTTCACGACGCCCGCGCCACGCGTCAACATCGCGACGTCGCCGCCCGCCCCTTCCTCGCCCCTGGCGCGGCGCGCGCGGCCGACTGCCTCCGCGCCCGTCGCCGTGGACGCCGTCGCCGCCGCCGCCGCCACAGTCGTCGTCGTCGTCTTCGTCCTCGTCCTCGTCCTCGTCGTCCTCGTCGTCCTCGTCCTCGTCCTCGTCGTCTTCGTCGTCCTCGTCCTCGTCCTCGTCCTCGTGCTCGTCCTCGTCCACCGTCCTTGTCGTCCTCGTCGTCCTCCTCGTGATCATCGTCTCGTCGTCGTCGCCGTCCCCGGCGCGCTCGTGCCCCCCCTGGGGGAGAGCGCTTGGCCTGGATCCAGGAGGGGCCCCGAAGTGCCCCAGAGTCGTGGCCCCTCGGGGCCCTCGGGGTCCGCGCGCGGGACGCCCACGGGGGCCCCGCGACCGCCTCGCGGCGGGGCGTGCGTGTCTAGGCCCCCAGGCTGGGATCCGAGCGGATGGGGCTGGAGGATCGCGCCGCAGCCGCGATGCGGCTCGATGTGGAGCCTGGCTGCTTCCGCGTTGGCGTCGCCAATACACCATCGACGTCGCCAGTGCATTGACGATGCTGTGCGATCCTCCTCCTCCAAGGAGGAGGAGGAGGAGGAGGAGGAGGAGGAGGAGGAGGAGGAGGAGGAGAAGAGTGAGGAGGAGTGGGGGAGGAGAGGAGAGGAGGAGGAGGCGGAGGATGATGAGGAGGAGGAAGGAGGAGGAGGGACGGAGGAGGAGGAAGAGGAGGAGAGGAAGAGGAAGGAGGAGGAGGAGGAAGAGGAGGAGGAGGAGGAGGAGGAGGAGGAGGAGGAGAGGAGGAGGAGGAGGAGGAGGAGGTGAGGAGGAGGAGGAGGAAGGAGAGGAGGAAGGAGTAGGAGGAGGAGGAAGGAGGAGAGGAGGAGGAGGAGCAGGAGAGGAGGAGGAGGAGGAGGACAGGAGGAGAAGGAGAGAGGTAGGAGGAGGCTGAGGAGAGGAGGAGACGAGGACGAGAAGCCCTGCGCTATGGACGGGGGAGGACGCCGGTGGCCCCCATTCCACCCCCATCCGATCCAACCCTCCCCCGTGCACTCAGGGCCGGAGAGCGGCGCGGGCAGGGCCCCCGCCTCGCGCGAGCGACGGGCGCGCGGCGCCAGGACCGCAACCAGCGCTGGCGCGTGGTGCCAGACCAGGAGCAACCTCCCGGGCGCCAGCTCTGGCTGGCGGCAGCGGGCGGAGGATGGCAGGAAGAAGGAACGCAAAGCACGACCTGGGACGAGGAGGA